GGGAGGGAGACGGGTGGAGAGAGATCTAGAAGAGATATTCCCGAAAGCATATAACAGAGAAGCATTTCTTCACCACAGTTCTACACACTCTTATCTGTTACGTTATCTTATCAAAGCCAGTTAGCGAAAAAATAAGATATGCGTCTTGAGTCACCGTTCTGTTCAGCTACAGGTCTCCTAAATGGATTTAAATTTTGGTCAAAAAGAAATACACGACAGGAAGATAATAAGTATTTTATCAGTCTTTAGCTGCAAGACACAAATAGTAAAGCAATATTTTCACCTTATGATTTCCTAAGTTCATTAAAACTGCATCTGTTTACGTAAAGTATGAAAATAGTTCAGGTGCCCTTTTGACTTGGCAATAGGGGTAACTATTATTATCAACATTTCCTTTATCACCTCTGCCGCGGGAGCTTGGCTTTACGGACGGCACCAGTGTACTTGAGAAAGGGGATTCTCATGAAATTCTTTGTGTGAATATTTTGATTCCGTGAGTGACCCTATTGCCTTGAAGGAGCTATGCGCTCTCTATGCTTCTAGTTTATCTTTTATTTGTTTTTAAATTCATCTCATTTATCTATTTATTTTTAACGCATCTTTATTTCTATTCTTTTTTCGTTTGTTGTTGTTTGTTGTTGTTTTTTTTTTGCTTTATATTTATATGGATTTGTTATGTTGCCTTTGCACAAGAATGAATGTTGATGTTTGTTTATGATTGGTTATAAACGCGTAATTGTATATGGTATTATGCGAACATTTTGTTTTGTGTGCATGCAAGTACACGATTTGTGTGGGCACACAGGGAGGGTCAGGAGTTGCGCACGTTCGCGTACCGCATCATTTGCGTTCGTCTAATTGGTGCGTTCTTGAGGTGCGAGTTCGGTGAGTAAAGCGATGTCAGTGTTTGAACTCATAAAACAAAGAATAAAAATATTGAGCCTTTAATTACGACGTTGTTGCGAATATGGTCATTTTGCGGGGTCTGAAGGAGTTTGTTATGTATGCGCGGTCCTGTTGTTGACACCGAGGTGTTCCGAGATGAGCTAGATTTCGTTCTTAATATTTGTTGTATTATTTTTCTCTTCGTCATCTCTTCTCCTCTAACTCTCATCTCTACTCTCTTCTTCTCTCATCTCCTTTCTCTCTCTCTCCTCTCTCTCTCTCGTCTTCTCTCTCTCTCTCTCTCTCTCCCTCATCCTCTCTTCTCTCTCTCTCTTCTCTCCCTCTCTCTCTCTCTCTCTCTCTCTCTCTCTCTCTCTCTCTCTCTCTCATCCTCTCCCCTCTTCATCTCTCCTCTCTCCCTTCGTCTATCTCTCTCTCTCTCCCTCTCTCCTTCTTTCCGTTCCTCCCTCTCTCTCTCTCCTCTCTCTCTCTCTTTTCCCGCCTCTCTCTCTCGTTTCTCCCTCTTCTTCCTCTTCTTCACTCCTTTCTTCTTTCTCTTCTGCATCTTTTCTCTCTCTCTCTCTTCTCTTTCCTCTCTTCATCTCTCTTCACTCTCATCGTCTTCTTTCTCTCGTCTCTCTCTCATCTCTCTCGCTCTGCTTCCTCTCTTCTCCTCCTTCCGGTTATTCTTTCTTCCTATCTTCCTCTTTTTCTACACGTTCGGTGCTTCTGCTTCGCTCTTCTCTCTCTTTCCTCCTCTACTTTTGTCTATCTGGCATTTTCTCCTCCTCCGCCCCTCTTTCTGTTTCTCTTCTTTTTTTTCTTCTCTCGTCCTCTCTCCTTGCCTCATCATTCTCTCGAGCCACGTGCCTCCTCTCACCCCTCTCTCTTTCCTCTCCGTGTTCCTCCTGACATGTCATACCCTCTCCGCCGCCTCTCGTCTTCTACCGTCCTCTATCTCTTCTGGAGAGCCACCGTCACGAGGTCTCCGTCTACTCATTTCGTCTTCTTATCGTCCGATTATTGTAGTCCACGTCGCTTTCTCATCGATCTCGTTTTTCGGCTATTCTCGTTGCTTATGTTCTCGTTCTCTCATGCACATCTCCTCCAGTCTCTCTCGAAGTCTGTATGTCTTTATCGTGCCTCCACCACATCTCCTCCGTGCTTTCTCATCCTATCTCTTCTCTCGCTCCTTCTTCTCGCACTGCTCTCTCATTTCTTTCTTCTCTCTTCTCTCTCTTGCTTCGACGCTTGGCAGACGTCAATGTACGTTACCAAGGTCTACATAAGTACATGACTGCCCGCGTGTGTGTGTGCGTGAGGAGTTCGCCGCAAGCGGGGGTTCTTAGGCAGCCTTCTGCGGTGCGCGCGGACGCCAGCGGCCCCGCTGTCTATCCTGGCAACAGCTGCAGATGGTGCCTCTGGGCTGCTCTTCGTGGGCGGGCCTCCTGTGTCTGCTTGTCGAAGGCGAAGGGGAGAGTTGGAGGAAAAGGAATAAGAAAGAGAGGGAGAGAATTGCGAACGAAAATCGGGGAATGATGGACAGGAACCAGACACATAAATCAGAGGAATGGAGAGAGAGAAAAGGCCGTTTCACATTTCTTCCCTCGAATGT